TGCTCAGTCCCAGAGTCTAGGCTTCTGATAAGAGTGTTTATCAAAGCACCTATTCCTTTTTCTTTTTTAATGTATTTTATTGATTTTTACAGAGAGGAAGGGAGAGGGATAGAGAGTTAGAAACATCGATGAGAGAAACATCGATCAGCTGCCTCCTGCACACTCCCTACTGGGGATGTGCCCGCATCCAAGGTACATGCCCTTGACCGGAATCGAACCTGGGACCCCTGAGTCTGCAGGCCGATGCTCTATCCACTGAGCCAAACTGGTCAGGGCAGCATCTCTTCCTTTTAAACACCTCACCAAAGACTTGAACTGACTTGGGCCCAGGCCTTTTTATGGAGACTTGGCTAATAATTCATGTCATCCATTAATGACTCGGTTCCAGGGAGAAGGATGGCGGGTGAAGAACGAGAGCACCTTTTTCATTGGTTGGTTTAGTTCTGTAAAAGGAATTCGACAGTAGGGTGTGGGGGGATGACACACTCTGAGTTTCTCCATGCCACCCCAGCAGCTCTCCCTTTTGCCTGCCCCATTTAGTCCCCAAGCCAAGGAGCTGTGTTCACATAGCTTTTGTCTCAGCACGGGGGTAATTTTGCTTTGGGTTCTGCTTTTTTATTTTATTTAAGAGGAAGGAAAAGGGAGAGCTAGAAACATCAATGATGAGAGAATCATTGATTGGCTGCCTCCTGCACACCCCCTACTGGGGATTGAACCTGCAACCTGGGCATGTGCCCTTAACTGAAATCGAACCTGAGTCCCTTCAGTGCACAGGCTGCTGCTCTACGGGGCTTGGGTTCTGCTATTTTAAAATGCGTTTCTTATCACTAATGTTCCTCTACATCTCCATGTCATCCTCAGAATTCTCCTTGCCCCCAATATTTTAGCTGCCCAGACCCACCAGGCTTGGGTGTATGGGGATCAGGTGGTCTGGAATTTGCCCTGCCCCCCACCTGTGCAGAAAGTATGACTGGTGTTAGGTGGGTTCGGATCACATGCTTTTGGCAGGAAGAGGGGGTGAACAGGATGGAGGCATCTGTGGGGTTGGCTTTGGGGACCAGGGAAGAGCAGTCCAGCAGTGTCTCCATGCTGTAGGGAGAGGACAGTGCTGTCTGCCTTGGAGGTTCCAGGGGAAAGGGGCACAGGCAAGCCCAGAGGCGGGCACGAGGGCAGGAGCTCCATGTAAGACCTGAAAGGACCTGCCACCCGTTCCGCTCGGTGCAGCGCTGCTCATCAGAAGGTTCTCCCTGGCGTGGACCCAGGTCAAATAGGTCCCTCCTGGTAATGCCCGGGTGCCAGGGCCTCTGGCTGCTGACACTGGCATCTGTCTCCTGCGTGTCGCCAGGCCACGCCCCACCACGGGGTCTACTCTCGTGAGGAGGAGCTGCTGCGGGAGCGGAAGCGCCTGGGCGTCTTTGGCATCACCTCCTATGACTTCCACAGCGAGAGCGGCCTCTTCCTCTTCCAGGCCAGCAACAGCCTCTTCCACTGTCGGGACGGGGGCAAGAATGGCTTCATGGTAAGTGCCGGTCCCTCGCTGCGGTGGGGTGGGCAGGTGGGCGGCACCCTGCCCCCCCTGAGCCAGGCCTCTCTGTCCCCAGGTGTCCCCCATGAAGCCATTGGAAATCAAGACCCAGTGTTCTGGGCCTCGGATGGACCCCAAGATCTGCCCTGCCGACCCCGCCTTCTTTTCCTTCATCAACAACAGTGACCTGTGGGTGGCCAACATTGAGACCGGCGAAGAGCAGCGGCTGACTTTCTGCCACAGGGGTAAAGCGGGCAGAGGTGTCAGTCCTGGCCAGGGTGGACAGGAACCTGCACCCAAGGGTGTGGTCTGTTGGGCCAGGCCCAGGCCAGCACTTTCCAGGCACAATCATCAAAGCCACCAGTCCAGCTTCTAGAAAATACCCTGCCCCCACTCCACTCTCCCTGACCCCAGGCACCTTCCTGAACCCGGCTCTCACAAGCCTCCCTCCTGTGTGGCCCTCTTGGCCCCCCTCCACCAGACACTTATTCTGCACCTCTGCTCACTCGGCCCCTCCCACCTCTGCTCTCCTTTCTGACTCCATGGTTCAAGCTCAGATCTCACCTGCTCCCCGAGTTTTCCCTCATGCCCCTCCTCGTTGGAAGGTGACCTTCCCCTTCTAAAGATGTTTTTGGAACTCTGCACCTGGCGTGGCCTCAGACTTGCCCCCCTGTCCTGCCCCCCTGTCCTGCCCCACAGTCCTGGTGCCCTCACTCTAAACCTGAGCAGCTCAGCCAGGGGCAACTCAGACACTGGCCATGTCCAGGGATACTTTTAGTTGCCATAGCTGGGTGGGGATGTCCTGGGATCGAGTGGGTGGAAGTTCAGAGATGCTACTCAACACCCCATAGTGCTCAGGACAGCCCCCCACAGAGAATGTGCTGACCCCAATGTTAGCAGTGCCGAGGGGGAGGAACCTGCCTTAAATAAGACTCCTCACCTCTCGTCCTGCTTTCTCCTCCTCCAGGCTTATCCAACGTTCTCGAGGACCCCAAATCTGCAGGCGTGGCCACCTTCGTCATCCAGGAAGAATTTGACCGCTTCACTGGCTACTGGTGGTGTCCCACAGCCTCCCGGGAAGGTAGGTCCCTTTCCATTTTTAAAAAATGCTTCGTGGTCCTGGCCAGGGGTTAAGTGGTTTGAGCATTGGCCTGCGCACTGAAGAGTTGTGGGTTCGATTCCTGGTCAAGGGGATGTATCTGGGTTGCAGGTTGGATCCCTGGCCTGGGGCGGGTGCTAGAGGCAACTAGTCGATGTGGCTCTCTCCAATCGATGTTTCTCTTTCTCTCTCCTTTCTCCCCCTCCCTCCCTTCAACTCTCTCTAAAAATCAATGGAAAAAATACTCTTGGTTGAGGATTAACAAAATGCTCTGTGTACACTTCTTTTCTTAATAGACTCTGTGTGCTTTTCTGCTCTTTGCACTTGTCACTAAAGAAACCTCGGCAATCTTTCTATTGATATCAGTGTCTCGGTCCATTTGGGCTGCTATAACCACACCACAGTTTGGGGGGCTTATAAACAGCACTTACTTACATCTCATGGTTCTCAAGGCTGGGAATTCACGATGAAGGCGCCAGAAGATTCAGTGTCTGGTGAGAACCTCCTCCTGGTTAATAGATGGCACCTTCTTGCTGTGTCCTCATGTCCTGGGGTCTCTTTTATAAGGACACTTACCCCTCTCATGAGGGCTCCGCCCTTATGATCTAATCACCTGCCAAAGGCCCCATCATGTAATGCCATTATATTGGGGATAGGCTTTAACATTTGGATTTGGGGGGACACAATCCCTTGCAGTCAGCACACAACTCTTTGGAGCGTGACTGTGCCATGGTTTATTGAGCTAGTTCTTTGGTTGTTTCTAGTTGTGGGTTTTGGTTTTATTTTGGTATCATAATCAATACTCCTATGAATACCTTTATACACCGATCCTGGTGGGTGATCTTCTGGGCATATATCAGTCGTTCTCAGCTGGGGTGAACCTGCCTTTAGGGGACATTGCACAATGTCGGGAGACTCCTGTTTGTCACAGCTGAGTCGGAAGCACAGTGCTGCCACTCCCAAGCCACATGGCCTTGAGCCAGCCACTCAGCCTCTTAGGCGTCCAGGGCTCCGCCCTAAAGCAGGTGCGGAGACATCTTTGGTCTGTCCACAGGGAGCCTTAGGGCAGAAACAGGAAGCAGCAAGAGAACCTTCTCAGTGGCTAAGGAAGGAAAGGGCCTGCTGAGGAAGGAGCGGCCATGGCTCTGTCCCTGTGACGTCAGCTTGGCCAGTCACCCCACTTCTCTCTCAGCTGTTACCACCCAGTGATCTACTTATTCTCACAATGATCTTTATTGTAATTCTTCTTCTGGAGACATGTGTTATTAACTGGGGCTGCTGAA